ACAAGAGAGAAGCACTTCATAAAAACATTAAGTGGATCCAGTTCAAATAAGGAACTACAATAAAATTAAAAGTACAGATTAGGCTAAGAGCAAAGAACATACTGTAGGCCTCTTCAGACAGCAGGCAGCGTTTTTCTGCAATAACCACAAGTGGGCGATAGTCCTACATGCGTCTATCGAAGGGTTGGATCCATATTTTTTAAATAATCCTTTCCACGAGGTGGAGTATTGAAGGTCTCCTGTTCACTCAAGCACCCCTGTCACATGATTAAGGTCAGTGAACGTGTTGTTTGGAATGACGAGAGTGACAGCCAATCGCGTGGCTAAGATTCAAGCCAACCGGAAGAATTTGGGCTTGGGGACTGTACTAATTCTGATTGACAGCATATGTGTCCAATTGTCATTGAGTATTTGCCTGGCGCGTCCAATAGGTTCCTAGAGCTCTGAAGCAGGGGGCGGGTATTTTAAACTCCCGGCTGTTCGCCCGCTCTGTTCAACAGCTGTAACTGACAAAATAAATAACAGACGGGATTTAAAGTCGATCAATGGATCTTGAGGTGATTTAAAATGAATCAGAGTAACACTAAATAATTATATTATTCCTTACTTTCCTTAGATTCTGCTTATTTTCAGGAAAGATAACTCTCCTGGATTTTTTTGCAGCCATTTGCAACGTAGAATCCCGTAGTTATAAACTTCAAAACGTTGATGCCACTCATTTTTTAGCTCTGAAAATCAAAGTTGTTGAGCTCCACTTTACTTTTTTTACTGGTGACTGACACGGATTTGGATAAAAGGTATGTTATGCGTTTTTTCTTTCTTTGATTTTACGTTCACAGAGCAATGCAGCCCCAGTCTACAGTCTACGTTACGATGGGATAATCCCATAAAGTCATAGTTACATGACTTTATTGTCTTTTTACTTTCGTGAGATAGCCATTCGAGATGTAAATTCGTGACCCAGCGGCGGTCTAGTGTCCGGTCTGTTTTCTCTGGTTATCGGTCAGTCTTTCAGCCTGTGTTATCCTTCAGTAGAAATCATCTCAGCACTGTGACCGGGCTTGTCGATTCGGTTAGATCCATCCATATATAGAATGATTTACTCTGCAAAAACCTCAGAACATGAGCTCCAGACGACAGGAGACCTTTCGGCCTACCCAGTGTGTTAATAATCTAGGTTAGTCGTGTATTGATCCCAGCATCTCACGCGGAGCTTTCTTGAGAGAAGCCAGGGGTATCGGCTTCAACAGGCTGGGAAGCTTGTTCCACACTCCCACAACCCTTTGTGTAGAGAAGTGCCACCGGTTCTCGCTTTTAAATGAACTCTGACGTATGGTCCACCCGTGTCCTCGTGTTCCTATGTAGCTAGAGCTGAGATTTGGATGGGGCGCCCTGACTGATTTAGACTCATGGTCGTCACGGTGTTGGTTGAGAATTTTGCATTAAATATTTGTGGTATCCCAAAAATAAAAACGAAACCTTTGCATGCCCCTCTCTGCTATTTAACGGAATGGCAGAGTTATATTAGTTTTGCTGCTCGGAGGACTCCATCCAATTTGTGTCCGTTCATGTTTATTGTTTACTGTGAAAGGACCAGCTCGCAGAAGCTGGGCATTAGGCTTGTGAGAAGCCTCAGTGCAAATTGCCTTCAGTGATTTAAATGTCTTTATTGATGTAAGAATCCTTAAGGACTTGAATTAAGCATTTTGTGTTTTAAGTGGGAGTCTTTTAAATAGCTGAACATTAGTTTTGTGTTTGAGAAAAGTAAAAAAAAAATCCAACGAATTACCTAGATTTTCAGAGCACAACAAAACGTGATTCTGCCATACTCCTTGTGCAGTGTGTTTACTAAGTATGTGTCCGCTGACAGTGTTTTCCGTCTGTCTGTCTTGCGTGAAGGGTTGGGGAATCCTGCTCTCCCAAGATCCCTGTGAAAAGAAGGGAGTTTGACTCGCAGCACAGCAGCTCTTTAGTAATACAGCAGCTGCTGGTGAAACCTATTTGTATAAAATCAAATTCAGTGCTGGACCTCTCAGTCCTGGTGCCTCGCAGTATGATGTTAAGTGTGGGTGTTTTTTTCTGCTGTAAGAACAGTTCGTACTGGAAGCTGGCACTTTTAAATCCTGAAATGGATCACACTGCTATGCAGTAGGAGTCTATTGCCATCACTTTCCTGTTATTGTTGTGCGCTTGAACCTGACAGATCTTAGGTGTGTTTTTCCCTGTAGTATCTCCTGTAGGTTTCTGCATCAGCAATGTCAGTGTTTTTGTCAGTTTTAGTTTTAAACAGCTACTGTGAGAATAAACATAACTGAATGTATAACGAGGTCCTTGAATCCAGTGCAGCATCCTGGATAGAGACCATCGCTAAAGGCAAAACTTTACATTTTGGGATATAAGTGCGTGATGAATAGCTTAGAATACCAAGCACAGCATTAAGCAAAAACATATTCTAATGGGGGGGGAAATATTAAATCTAATTAGTTTCCATCTGCATGTTTATCGTGAGACTGCAATCTTTCACTCTGGCTCAGCACAGCCAATCAGCTTGCCCCCCTGCCTGGTGAGCAGAGCTGTCATTGGTGCGTGCAGCCATGGAGGGCGGGCTGAACATCCAGGCGGAGATGGACTTCCGGGGAACAGAGGTCTCGGTGTCTGTGGAAGTGGGGGAGGACCTTCTGGTGGTCGAGGTGTCGGATTTGCTGACCGCTGACCAGTGGAGAGGAGAGTTTCACCCCGCCTGTGAGTACCTTGCTGCTACTGTGATATCACTCTCTACTGCCCAATCCAAACCCAACTTCGGCATCTGCGGTCGGTCTTCAAGGGCTCCTGCACTGTGCTCACAAGCTGTGCAACTACATCCTGAGCTCGTCTTGCTGAGAGGCAAGGTAGTTGATCACAGCCCAGCTCCCCAGCAGACAAGTGATACAGCAGGATTACTACCTGCGCCCTCCTTGCTGTTAGACCTGCTCTGCTCTTGGGACTTTCTCTTCATAAGACCACAAGGCCTGCTCAGTCCAGGATGTTGTAACTGGCTAGTGCTCCTTTTTCTACAGCTGTGATCCTCAATTCCTGTTTCTCCCTGTCCATCTGTGTCTTTTCAGATATTGAAGATCTTACCCGTAAGACTGGCAACTTCAAGCAGTTTGCCATCTTCTGCAGCATGCTGGAGTCTGCAGTCCGCAAGGTCAGGCAGGGGGCAGGGAACAGCGAGGCTCTGACCAGCTGTGCTGTGAACCCGCTGGCACTCCGACATTTGCATTAGAGATAAGCGGTCTGTTCAGGATTCTGGGGATAAGTTAGACTACTATAAGTGAAGAAGTGTAGCCTCTACGTGTGCATGTATAGCTTTCAGTAAGAGATAAGAAAGATTTTTCAGTTTTATATTGTTTGTAGCTTCATTGTTTTCCCTTCTACAATAACTTATGCTGCAGGGCTGAAATCGGAGCTCAAGAGCTTTTCTTTTGATTGGCTGGGTTCCATACAGCTCTGGAGCCCGGAGATCAGCTCGGTCTGTGTGGGTCCCGCGCGGGTGGGTGGGTGTGGATGAGGGGGCTGCCGAGAGTGTGACGCTGTCCTCCGTGTGGGACTTCTCTTCCCAGACCAGCGAGTCCGTGTCCCTGGACCTGCTGACCTACGGTGACCTGGAGCTGCTGCGGAACAGGAAGGCGGGGCTCCTGGGACGGCCGCGGGCCCCGGCCCAGTCGCCGGCCCTCCACTCCAAACGCTACCTCATCCTCATCTACTCCGTGGAGTTCGACAGGTCAGCTCCCCTCCGCCTGCGTGTTCACAGCGCGCTGTCGGACCCACAGCTAACCCTGGGGTCATTTACGCTGGCAGACAGTTTAGATGGAGGCTGTTGTTCTCCCTTTCAGATGAGCTTATGTCAGCGAATCCAGAAGACGTTATGCCCAAGCCCACTGTACGTCTGCTGTAATGCTTTGGATTCAGAGCAGAGCAATGTGGATTCTGAAAGAAATCATGGAGGAAGAAGGTTTAGTCATACAAATGAACACCTGCAGTCTAAAATTCAATGTGAACCTTAAAATCCATTAGCAGAACAGTAGTTCACTAACTTCCCTACACATTACTCTTAATGGTATATTGCGTGTGGGTGTTGGTGTGAAGGAAAAGATTGTTTGGTGATAATTGCTTTTGTTCTTACCTGCTTTTAACACAAAATGCATTAGGAACGAATCTGAGACTGGAGCTAAATAGACATTTATCTCTAAATACCGACCCAGTAAAGAATATTTTGATGGAAGGAAAAAAGAAGTGATTCTTACAGGTTATTATTTGTAATATGGAAGTCCAAGAAAGTTTGGAAGCTCAGAGAGAAAGTTGGTTTTATGATGCCTTTAAATTGCCCATTTTAATCGACATAAACCCAAAAAGAGTTACAAATCAGTAACAAAATTTTAGAAAACTAAACTTACAGTAGAAGGTGCCTTGGTTAATGGTGCACAGCGGCTTACTACAGCTTGTTGAGGAGCATCAGTAGGAGGTCTGGGTTAGGCGCCCAGAGCTCCCTGATGTCTAACAACACCAAGTACAGGTGTGAGACTGGGGCTCCCTCCTCTGATGTAGCATGCGATGGCGGACCGCAGTGCTCCGGCCTCGCACTGTGCCGGTCTGACTCCTGCCCCTCCCTGTCTCGCCAGGATCCACTACCCGCTGCCCCTGCCCTACCTGGGCAAGCCGGACCCCGCGGCGCTCCAGAGGGAGATCCGTGCGCTGCGGGCGGAGCTGGCAGCACTGGGCACCCGGACGGGCAAGGACGCCCGCGACGCAGAGATCCGCCGCCTCCGAGCAGAGTCAGTAGTCGGCCGCATCCTGCCCAGATCCGTCACAGGTCCCGTCGGCTCCGGCCAACACAGTGGCTCCTTCGGCTGGTTCACAGCGAAAGTCCCGTTTGATTGAAAGACCCAGTGATTGTACCTGTGTACAGGTGTACAGGAAGTGTTCTTCAAGGCGTACAGGTGCTACAGAAAGTCTCTCAATTGTGAAAAGTGTAAAAACACAAAGTGCAGACAGTGCATCAAGACAACATACAAACAAATAGTAGACAATATACAAGTAAACAAGTAAACAGTTTGAATGTAAACAATGCAGACATGTAAACCATGACTGCAGATGCACAATAAATAGAATTATAAGGAGGTAGATGGTGTAGCTGTGGTCCGAGCTATTGAGGAATCTGGTGGTAAGTGTCTGTATGCTCTTGTATCTCTTGCCTGAGGGTAGTGGGGTGAGGAGCTCATGCCCGGGGTGGTGACTGTCCTCTGTGATGGCCAGAAGTCTACCACAGCAGCGGTCCTCATAGAGCTCGTAGTTCTTTACTCTGGACCAAATTCTGCTTAGATTACTTTACTGATTCTAGCAGATCGTAGGCTGTAGAGGTGGTGCTGGACCGGTAGTGTAGCACACACCTCTCACTGACCTGAGCACAGCACTGGACGCTGGACAGGAGGCTGAGTAAGACGCTCTCAGTAAGGCCCATCCAGCTCAGACTGCAGAGCACTGAGGCAGGGTTTGCCCGTGTCAGTCCAGCACAGTTACTTTCTAGATTCTGGGCTCCAGTCAGTCCGGCAGAGGCTGTTTTCTGGCTGCAGTCCCTCTCAGCTCCCGGGGAGAGTCCTTTTTCCAGGTCACAGTGCAGGTGGAAGAACCTGTCATCTGCATTTCTTTAGCAAGCTGCTGCTCGGAGGACAAACCCTGACCCTGGCCTCTGGTGTCAACTGGCATCTTTAAGCAACTGTAGTGGGATACATAAGAATGTTTACAAGCAAGAGGAGACCGTGACCCAACCAGCCTGTTTGGTAGTGAAATAATCCAAGAATCCCGCCCAGATTTTCTTGAGAGAATCCCTGGTAGTGGCTTCAACCACATGGCTGGGCAGCTTGTTCCACACTCCCGCAACTCTCTGGGTAAAGAAGTGCCTGCTGTTCTCGGTTTTAAATGCACTTCTGTCTAGTTTCCACTTGTACCCTTTGGGGTGTGTTTCACTGCTCGCTAGGAAGAGCACTGCTGGTTTGGCTATGTCCGCGTCTTTGAGGAGTTTAAAACTTGTATGAGTTTCCCTTGTACTCTGGGGACAAGGAGTATCGAGGAAACCACTGGTGCCTCTCTTAATAATTACTGTACGTAATCTGGCCCCGCTCATGGGGATGTGTATATTGGGGCTTTTCTTGGAGCCTTGACGCCTGCTGTCGTGCCCAGGCTGTCCCAGATGCGGGAGGAGAAGGAGGTCCTGGCCCGGGCCCTGGAGTGCCTGCAGGCTGGGGGGCCGGCCCCGCGCGACGAGCCGAGGGGGGCGCAGGCGCTGAAGGAGGTGGTCCGCAGCCTGGAGGAGGAGCTGCTGCGCGAGAGAGCCAGGAACCAGCGCTCCGCCAGCAAGAAGAGCCAGGAGCAGCGCCTCCTGCTGGAGAAAGTGAGTAACCCCAGGGAAGGCGCTGGAGGAGGAGAAGGGTAAGATCGCTGGCACAGAAGATGTCACGTGCTATAGCGCCAGAGAGCGAGGGGTTATGATGCTGTAGAGCACTTTAATAAAGTGTTGCCAAAGCTTTTGTGGGGTGTTTTTTTTAAAACGCCACAGGTCTAGTGCTGTGCTGTGCTGCACTGCTGTGGTTATATCAATCGGGGAGTTATCTGTTCAGTACTGTAGACGTTCTTCACATCAAATATTAACTTACGTTTTACAGTACAGAATTCTTGCAAAATATTTTTTTTCCCTAAGCGCACACTCGCCTTACGCCCCCCTGGTTTTCAGCGATAATGCTTTGGTCAGGTGTCCGCTGCTGAGTGAGAAACGGATGAGTGACGGACTTGTTTTGACCTTTACCACCCCAAAACCCATGTACGAGAACGACTACTTCCCGGAGCAGTCTCGCTCCTCTACATCCCTCTTCCTTTTCCTCTTTTTTTCCATGGCTTCACTCCGTCCTTCCCCTCTCAGCTGGAGGAGCTTAAGGCGTCGGAGAGGAACCTGCGCGTGCGAGTTAAGAGCTTGACCAGTGAGCTGGCGATCGTGAGAAAGGGGTGAGTCTGCGCGTATCACTGGGTGTATCTACAGTCTTCGATCAGATGTACTGAGCAGTGGAGCCGTGGGGAGCTCATCTCCACTCCTGGCTCTTCACTGGACAGGAGGTGTAACTGAAGGCTCTTCTGCAGGAGGGTGACTCCCGTCGGGCCCCGGCGGTCAGGTTCAGAGCTGGGCTCCGGACCGCCCAGGAGAGAGGCGGAGGGGCGGCGCTCGGTGTCCCGGGACAGGAGCCTGGGGAGCTACTCGGGGTCCCGGGAGCGCAGCGTGGGTGTTGGGGAGCGCTCGGGCTCCCGGGACAGAGGGCGGAGGTCAGGCTCAGCTGGTACGCGCCCCTTCGTCCCCAGGCAGTCCCCATCACCAGCAGGTAAGCACAGGTGTGCACAGACCTTCAGAGAAACACAGTAGCTGCCGATGGCTGCAGTAAGTGCCCACTTGAAGACCGTGCAAATTTCTCCCAGGCCTCGGAGGCTGGAAGGGGAGAGGTCTGTCAGTGCCCTGCAGATAGTGAAGAAGAGTCCTCAGTTCTTCATTCTTACATCCCTAATTTAGCTTTGTGCAGCAAATACTCGTCCATCCTGTATTAGTTGGCCACTTTACCAGGTGAGGGGTAGAGCTAGAGTCCATAGCTGCAGCAAAGAGTGCGAGACTAGCAGCACATAAGAAAGGTGACAATCTAGAGATGACTGTTCTGGTCCTGGGGGGGGTGAATACTCAGCTGACCCTTATTTTTGCTCTCCCCTGACACCATGATGGGTCATACGTGAGCAGTGTCTGGAAATTGTGGTTTTCAGTAGAGCTCTCCGCACACAAGACCGTGAAATCAAGAGGCGTTTCTGCTCTGTTTGACAGGGACCAGAGCCCCCCGCTTCGACCCCACGGCCTACATCAAAGGCAAGGAGCGCAGGCAGAGGGAGGCCCAGCTGAAGACGTAAGGCTTACTGGCGCATGAAGTCGTTTGCTCCTTTCAGTAATCGCATAAGTGTGCGCGCTGCTGATGTGAAGCCCAGTGCTGTATGTTTTACTGTATTTCTGAGGGACGGGCAGAGCGTACCCATTCATGCCCTGAGTGGTGCTGGCCTCTCCTGCTTGTCCTCTCCGAGCCCCATCAGGCCCGCCGCCAGCCCTCGGCCTCGGAACGCACCAGCGTCTGAACCTGCTGGAGTCACAGGCCGCTCCGCTCCTCCCGGAAACCCTGTGCTTCCGTGCTGCTGTGCAGTGGGAGGGTTGGGAATTTAGCAGCCGGTTTTGTGTTCATTTGAAGCCCGTTTCTTGGCGGTAGCAGAGTTGAGCAGGGCTGATAACTGAAAGGCTGTGGGCTCGAATCCCAGGTGAAACACTGCTGTTGTACACTTGAGCAAGATATTGTTCCCTTGAAATATCCAGCTGTTTAAATGAATGCAAAAGTATCTTGCTTTAGATAAAAGCGTTGGACAAATAAATTCGTTTCCATGAGACACAAAGATAGCAGCTTGCTGCAGTGGTATTTTATTGCAATGGGCAGGATTTACTTATTATTCAGTAATACAGCCTCAGTGCCAGCAGTGTTCATTGTTTGGAATCTTTAATGCGTGCTTGTTTAATGAGGAGTGTATATGTACATATAACTCTTTAAGTCTGACATGAGATTTAATTTACAAAAGAGTGAATAACTGTCTTGCCATTTCATAAAATTGACAGTTCAGGTTATTTGTTTTTGCCCACAGTGTGCAGCTCATGGTATTTTAAGGTTTGATAGCAAGAACATTACAGGCTGAAGATGTCTAAGGTCCTGTGGAAGATGACGCAATCTGCTTTTCATTATTCCGTTGACTTATAAAACATCAGTACTATAAGAAGGTGTTGTAACGGATTGTCCCGTCTCAAAACAAACTTGTGTTAAATGAAAAAAACATTATTGTTTTGCTTTCGAGTTTGCTCATGATTGTCAGGGTCAAAGAGCATCTTCTTTATAGGATGAATGGCTGACAAGCCCACAGTCATCTCTCTCCTTGTGTTTTGTTGTTAATGGACTTTGACTCCTCTCTTCTGTCTTCGCAGTCAGAGGAAGGTGCAGCGAGACATGCTGACCACGCCCACTAGCTCCGAGAGAGGGCGGGCCCGCTCCCGGGAGACTCGCCATGGCAGTGCCCGATTGGGTCTGGCTGCCAGGGGGCGGGGCTCCTCTGTGGAGAGCCAGAGGAGCAGGCAGTCTTCAGCCAGCTCATTGGCTGATCTGGAGGACCTGGCTAAGCCCCTCCCTTCCAGGTGAGCTCAGACGAAGTGACGACAAAGCCAGACCTCCATCTAGGAGCTCACCATCTTGATAGATGCAGTAGTATCTGTAAAAAAAACAACAAATAGTTTTTTCTTTTAGTTATGGCCAACAGCTAAAGAGCTTCAATAAAATAAACACCGGGTCACCCAGAAGTGTCCATTGGACAGTGCGAGAAGGGGAGGGACAGGGATTCCCTGCAGTTCAGGTGGATTGTGGGTACAGGAAGGCAAGATCCATGTGTCTGATCCCAGTGTGTCCCCTGTGTTCCAGTGCTGGGATCCGGAGCAGAAAGAAAACGCAGCCTCCCCTGTGCTCCGTGCCCTGGAACAGCCCCGGCATGGTCAGTACCCCTGGGGTTCAGCCGCTGTGCCCCTTGTCCTCCTGTCTGAAGAGCGTTTGTGTAGCTTTGTGTCCAAGATCCTTATCCAGCTGCCTCTTGATAGACCAGTAAGATCAGCATTGAATTAATTCAAAGCCATTGATATTCAGTTAGTTCAAACAATTGATAAATCTTTCAGCTTTCAGCTAAATAATTTTTACTTGCTTTCAAATCTCAAATACATTTATAATTTAATGTTTATTTAATATAAACTTTAATGTTTATGTATATAACAGTTGTTAGGTTTGTTAAAGCTGTGTAGTTTATGAAATGCTTTTGGGTATTTAAAAAATAAAAGGCACTGCTTACCATTACTGCTGTTATTGGTCTAAGTTTAACAACCAGAGAAGTTCCAGCTATTGAAGGCTTAGCGTACAAAAGTTAAAGAATTTGTGAATGGTTACAAATAAGAGGAAATTGTGTGGCCCAGTTGGGTTCGCTGTTTCGTAAGGGAAGCCAGGGTATCACCTGGATCAGCATGACAAAAAAGTGTCTGTAAAGCTCCTTAACGCAGAGTTGTGGGAGTCTGGGACAAGGTACCCAGACAAGCTGTTGAAGCTGATCATTTCAGAAAACGACTGGATGAGGTCTTTGGGTCCACCGCCTACTAGCAGTTAAACAAGTGATGTGCGCTGAAAGGCATCCCTGTTTGTAGGCTTTACGTTGATTTGATTCATTGATTTAAATGTTAAACAAAATTCAAGTTCTTCAGGGAGAGAAATCCCTGACGTGGAACCGTCCTGTTCCTGTCTCTGCAGCCCCCCAGAGGAGCCAAGCCAAAGAGGCAGATGTCCAGCACCCCAACCAGGAGGAGCCGGGTTGCTGACAAAGGTCAGTTTTTATTAAACAATCATTTCTTCAGGATTTAAATGGCTTGTAGACCAGCTTCCAGGACGGCCACTGAGGCCCTGTCTGAGCCCGCTGTTCGTTGTTGTAATGCTGTTGAATGGGACAGAGTCTGTAGATGACTACTCATGGGCCCACCCAAAGCTCTTCTTGCTCCAGTGGTCTTCCCGAGTGTGTTGCAGTATTCTGTGAGACATGGGCATGACAGCAGCGCCTTTGTCGGTCTTGCAGAGAACTCCTTCGACCCTGGTGCCGATCTCTCGGAGATTGACGCCCGACTGCAGGCGCTTCAGGACTACATGAGGAATCTGGAAACTGGACACTAGGGCATTCCTCCCAGAGAGGTCTCCTCACTCCCTGGGAGCTTGTGGTGTTCAGGCTGCTGTTAGCCCCCACCCGGAAAACCGAGCCAACCAGCGTGAGTGAACTGATCTGTTAGCATCGGCAGCAAGGACCCTGTGTGGCCCCTGAGTGATGTTCCAGCTGAGCCACTGCTGGACGTGTGACGGCACAGGTCTGCGGCGCTGAATCCAGGGCAGGGGACCTGTTTTTGTATTTGTTGTGACAAAGATCCGCTTGACTTTTTAAATAATTTTTTAATGACCGGATGGCTTTTTTAAATAATGGAAAATACTGTGATCCGCCTCGAATTGTACCTTGAATAATATTTTATCCATGCACAAAAACGGTTTTATTCCGAAGTTCGCTGAAGCACATGATTGAATCCCACATGGCGACAGAAGAGTGAGAGACCCTGAATCTACTGTCAAATCCATCTCTGAAAGAACCTGTTGTATTTGAATAGATCTCATATGGTTTGGGATTGCTCTGTCCTAAATTAAGCCTGTTCTTTAGAAGGGATTCCATGCTTTCTGACAGAAGTGTGCTCGAATGTTTGTAGTAGAAGGGTGCAAGTTGAACAGTACAGTCGACTACTGAGCACTTAAGATGGCTCTCACTGAAGGAATAATTGTAGGTTCCACAATGCAGCACAGATTAGCACTAGAACTGGACTCGTTTCTTAAATGTTTATCCAGTGAATTATTTTAGAAGATGCCTGGAATAGATAGTTGGAGGGACATTAGGAGTCTTTGTTTAAGAGAACTGCTGAAATTGGTGTTCCTGGTAAAAAAGATCTTTCAGGAGGTATTGGTATCTTCTAAAAGCGTGCAAGTTTCATGGCAACAGCTTTACTGTTAGGGAAATACAGGATGACGTGTGTTGATGCCTCATTTGGAATCATTTTTCTAACTCTCAGTATGCTTGTATTTCTCCTATTTCAGGGAAGTGTTTTCTTATTGTCACTTCTAGTGTTTAAAACACCTGCTCTTCTGCAGCTTCTGTCTTTGAAAGTGGTTTTTAGTGTGAGTGTTTTTATACTTGATGCGGTTATATGTGCCTGTACCCTGTGTGGTTCTGTAACAGGTGTTTTCTGTAGAGGGAAAAAGTGTTCAAACCAATGAGTAGTTTTATAGCATGTCATGGTATAAAGAGGAATCTGTATAGTGGAATCTGCATGGAAACACTAAACCTCAAATTTAAATTTTGTTTGATAATTTATTTCCAATCAAATACAATACCTTCTCATTACACTTGTCCCGACAGCTCTGCGTTTATGTACACGCCTTTGCACATGAGCTCAGTGTGCTGTATAGCTTCTTCCCTGTGCTTTAAGCACATGTTAAAACTCGGCCTTCCAATTCACAACTACTTGAAGTGCTCGAGGAAGGCCTGCTACCTTGAGCTGTCACCGTGGATACCCAAATCACTGCCCCAGTCCGTCTTCTGTGTCCTGCAGCACTGGTCAAAAATCACCAGGGGGTTTGTTTTTGTCAGAGCTCATCTCTGGAGATACAATGCCAGGGACAGGCCACAGTCAGAAGGGTAAAACAATGTACAGATACGTTATTCAGTACTGGAAGGACTTCCTTCTGACCACGCTCGTCTTACACTGACAGGGCAGTGAACTGGATCTCTTTAGTTGTCTGCAGACAACACTGCCCAGGAACCTGATTCAAGTCTGCAGAATCTTCACAAGCTCTGACACCATCAGTCCAGTGGGCCTCAGAACCAGCTGGGAAAAGCAAACTACCCGACACAAGTGAAGAACTGTTGGGAAGTGCATTTAGTGCATGAGTTCTGGAGCCATTTTGTTGCACAAAGGGTTGTTGGGGTATGGAACAAGCTGCCCGGCCGTGTTGTCGGAGCCGATACTGAGGCTTCTCTCAAGGAGCAGCTGCGTTAGATCCTGGGATCAATCAGGTACTGGCAGCAAAACAAGCTAGATGGCTCAAACGCCCCCCTCTCATTTGTAGCCTTTCTTACATTTTTTTGTTCTTATAGCGCACAGCCAATGGCTGTTCGGCTTTTAATCTAAAAACGTTACCTGTTTTTAATGTATTGTTGCATCTGAACACTTTGAAAGCAGGCTCTATTGATCTCTGCCTTGGTTAAGCTTCACTCTATAATGCCCCTGTCTCTGCAAAACACAGACTCCACAATATGTTTGTTCTTTTTGGGAAAATGAACCTGCAGCATTTTCATTTGAAAGGGGGTCTTTGCATCTAGGGAGAAGGAGGCTTTGATCTTTGGCTTTTTGTGTTTCTGGGGTAAAGTAAGGATTTCCATTGTTCCTGTTGTTGTAAGAGATAGAAAAAACATACTACCTCGGTCTTTACATATCAAACTGCTGTTTGGCTTTTAACAAAAATTAGCAGTTAAATATCAAAGCTTTCCAGCTTTCTTTTATTCAGATACGTGTTCTGCACAACTGTAGGATTTCAAATGCTAGGGAAGGCACTCTGCCTGATAGAGTAGCCCAGAACAGGTGCTCAGTATCTTCCTAGTATCTACAGCAGTGCTCCTAACCCTGGTGCTGCAGGAACACTGCGTCTCTGGCCACGTTCTTAAGGCCAGTTGATTTCAGTTTTCCTGGTGGGGAAAATTTTTCACATTTACATTCAGCCCCCAAACGGTCTGAAGAGATTTGTAATCTGTATCAACTCTGTGCCAGATTCTGAGAAACCGACTGACCTCTTTCAGGGGTGCAGGCTGGCATGTGACCAACCGGCCCCCTGCAGAAGGACGAAGCGCTCGCTATGGGCTGAGGAGTGTCACAGGGCCAAGACAGGTCTTGGGTCCTTCACAGCAGCAACAACTATTCTTTGTTGCCAACAGTGTCATCCTCAGAGTTGTCCATTGATGTCTTCATTTCCTCCACTGGAGGTGGGGTCCAGGAGCACAGGCCGTACCAGAACCAGCCTGCGGGCCCGCATGAGGAAGAGAGGGGGACGCAGGTGTTCAGGACAGGGACACTGATGTTTCTGTATGTGCAGAGCTGGGAGTTTGCCTTTCAGTTAAGCTGGAACACTGCTGTCTGTCACTGTTTTTCAGCCCAGCTCAGGGTAAGATTGGCGGGAGGGAGGGATCTTTTTTTCTTTGCTAAATTCACCGCTGCCCCGACGCTGGGAGCCTCTGGGCGCCGTGCCAGGCAACAGTGCGGGCAGGAGCAGCGCTGCCAGGCTCCGGCGCCTGTTGGCGTGGCAACGGGGGGAAGCCCAGCTCTGCACTCGCCGAAGCGGAGCTGTGAGCAAGCCAGCGCCGAGCCAGGCCCTGCAGCGGGTCGGGCCACCCTGGCGGGACAGCGCCGGCAGAGAGCCACGAGCTGTGCGCGCAGGCGGGGGGAGCCGAATCTCAGGGGAAACCCGCGACTCCCAGGCGGGGCTGTTTTTTTCACAGCTCCTCTCCTGCGGTCTTGGTAAGGGTTGTGCCAGCCTGGAGCCTGACCTGGATGCACGGGGCACAAGATGCCACTCAGGGACAGTTTAGAGAGCCTAATATTCACTTTGGTGCCCAGTTAAACCTGGGCTACTGCATTCCTAAGCTCCTCAGTGTTTGCCAATAGAAATTGTAACCATTTTTCCCACAAAATATATAACTCTACATCCATAAGCACATAAGGCATAGCGCATTAGAAAAAGCCAGATCGAGTTTATTTTGTGCCATTTGTTCATCGTGTTGGTCTAAAAAAGACTTCCCAGGAATCGGCTCCTTCCTTTCCCGACAGTAGAAAGGAAAATGAGCTGAGTACTATCCAGCTATATTATTTGCTAACAGATATAAGATCCCCGGACATTCAGATTATATTCTGAATTAACCTCGCCCTCACTGTAGGACTGCCCATCTGACAGGTCTCTGTGCACAGGCTACAGTACACAACAACAGATAACTCTGTCGTTTCCTAGCCAATCAAATCTTGCGTGTCTGTCATAACCCCCTGGCCGTCTGTGAAGAACAGATTATAATTAGAAAAATGCCCGAATTGTTCCTGTTGCATTCAGGCCATAACCACGCTTATTCTGATTATTGGAATAGCACAAGGTATCAAATGCACTGCTTGAATCAGTGTTGTGTGTGCTCTTACTCTATTATCGGGAACTGTAAAAGCAGTTGTTAATCTCTTGCATTTAAGTATTAAACAGAAACAGAAGGGAATTAGCTCACAACCTTTCATGGTGCACATTAATCCCCCAGAATCCTCAGGTGTTGACAAGAAAATTGAGAAGCAATTTGTGGCCTTTCTGTTTCAACACCAGTGTGGCAACGAAAGGGACATTTTCTGTATTATTGTTGGAATTTTCCAGGGTGGTTAAGGACAAGGCCCTTCATTTCTTTAACAACACATTTATTTTAAACGTGTCAACGCTAAGCAGTTCTAAATATTCCAATAAATGAGCGCATGTGCTCTCGCGTCATGCTTAAGGAATCTCGCCCCAAGGGGTCGCCGGAGTTGTTCAGCCGGTAAAGGTGCTTGCCCTCCGCACAGCTCTGAGCTCTGTGGGTCGTGTCGCCACCAGGCTGTGCCGGGGATTCTCCATGAGGTGGTGCTTACCCAGGAGGGTAGGATGGGCTTAGCGGGTCAGGGCTCTGTGAGCTCCCTGGACACAGTGAGCCCCCCAGGCTCCCGAGCACAGTGCTGTGAGGGACACTCCTCTCCTCCAATCAGCACTGCACCTGCACACCTGTGACCTGTTAAAAGAGGAGCAGCTGGATGGTGGGCGGGTCAGAAGTCAGAGGTTTAGAGGTCTCTGCACACACTTCCCTATTCCCCCCCTGTGTAGGCCCACAGGGTTCGGCGCTGTGAGCCAGGACGTGCAAAAAAAAAACAACACAAATGGCAAATCCACATCAGGTGGGCTTAAAACAAAAAGTTAGTGGAGATTCTAAATTTATGTTAAAAGCTTTGGTTCAGTCATTTATCAGCAACCAAGCAAACAAAATGGGATTTATTCCTTCTGTTCCTGTGAGGTGGCATGATGGCTACAGCACGATATGACAAATCAGTACTTCCTCGTGACACGCAGCTCAAGCACAATGGCTTGAACGCTACAGGAATACAGAGTGCCTACAGACAGCAGGCGCATGGCCGTAGACTGGCGTACCTGCGCCGCACAGCTGCCGTCTGGTACAGGAACGCTGATCAGGTGCGATCACAGTCTGGCTTTGGGAAAAGCTAAAAACAGCCTATGGGAATGATTCAGCCCTGAGCCATTAGTCTCCATCATTGTTCTCCTGGCCTGTCATCATCTCGCAACGTTTTTCACACTCTTCTGTGCTGCGTGCATAGGGGTCACAACTGAACCGCGACGGACGTCCCACAAGAAGCCGGTCGCTTGTGTCGAGACAGTCTCCCTGGATACTGAGGAGCCATCCCTGAGCCCGGCTTGGAAAACCAGAGGGAGCAGAGGGGAGCTCACTGTGGTGCTGTGTGTGCAGCTACTGGTCTGCTCTGGACTTGTGATAGGTACCTGTACGGGGATATATTGCTAGAATGGGCATCATTCTGTGATAACCTGATTTCCAATCGATAATTTAATGACAAACACAAAGCTCACCTGTATTTGCCCTCCTAACTGCTTGGTACAGCTGTCTGGCAAGATATGAAGAGGCTAAAATGACAGTTATTAACACTGATAGTAGTGCTGATGCTACTGACACTTTAAATATAAAAATATAAAATGTTGTGGTGTCAGTACTAGTAGTTTATTTGCTTCTGGAATCTACCCTAAGTCTGTATAGAAGAGAGCTTTGCCTTAGGTTTTCAGGCTGTGTCGACAAAGCACTAGGAAGTGAATGGAGCCCCAGTCACGGCTCGCTTTCAAGAGGAACAAAGCGGATATCTGGGCACCGTGAGCCCGCGAGGACGTTCTGTTTTCCTGGAGAGCAGGGCTGAGAGCTCCCTCCCTCTCCCCCTCGTCACGAGCGGGCGGAGAGCGTGGGGTCCTTTGGAAATGTCAGGCCCTCCTGAGTGTCTCTCCTCTCGAGGCATGGGGGTGTGTGGGTGTGAGAGAGAGAGAGAGTTAGAGCAAAAGACAGTGTACTGGTACTATTAGATACAACAAAAAATGTTTTGAATTTAATTCTTCGTCCTTTCTGTTATGCTAGGAATGCTAGCTTATTCCTAGTAGTGGTCATGACAACACTTACATATTGAAATCCAGTCCCTCAAGGATACCATACGTCCTTTTTCTAACCACTTCATCCAGTTCAGGGTCTGGGGGGGAGCCGGAGCCTATCCCAGCCAGCAACAGGCGCAAGGCAGGAAACACCCTGAATGGGATGCCAGTCCACCACAGGGCACACAGACTCACACCAGGACCAGTTTTCCCAGAAGCTAATTAACCTACTAGTTTTCTCATGGGACTGTGGGAGGAAATAAATACTGTATGTCATTGGGGAGCATGCAGACTCCACACAGATAGCAGCCCAGGTCCAGAATTGAACCCTGGGCCCCAGCACTGTGAAGCAGCAGTACCATCCATGTTCCGCCCTCCTCAAGGACACTTAAGTGTTAAATTTACTCCGAGAGAAAAAGCATGGCTTGTGATTCCTTTGCGCGACACTGTCACACAGTGCAGTCTTGAACCCATGCCAAAACAAATACACAAAACTCATCAGCAGGTTTTACTCAAGGAGAATCAGAAAAACAGGCCTGCTGTTTCTTCTACAATAGAACTGTCTCTGTTTCAAGTCATCGAACAACAGCAGGTTATATATTTTTGAAACAAGCATGTATTTCAGTAAGCCTGTGGTGAACATGGTAATGGCCAGGGAGGAGAGAGATATTTGCCTTAAATATTCAGCACTCAGCAGCTCTCTGAGAGGAGACACTGTGACTGAAGTCTGCAGAAGACATAACTCATACAAACAGGAGGAGATCATTTGGCCCATCTAGCCCCTTTGGTAATTACTTCTTCACTGATCTGAGAATCTCATCTAACTGCTGGGAATCCATGGTATCGACTTCAACAACATGGCTGAGCAGCTCGTTCCCTGCTCCTGCAACCCTTGGTGTAAATACAGCATGTACCTTTAGCTCTCGGTTTCAAATGCATTTCCATGTGCATAGCTATCGGGAGAAAGCTGCACAGTTGACTTTGTGAGTGCCTTTCAGGTAAAGAATTAGGTTTTACTATTCCTGCACTGTCAAAAGATTCAAATCAAGATGGAACATCAGCCCAGCAATCTGAGACAATTGCATCTTTCTGGAGTAACAAAGACTTTGACAGTGCTGGAAAGGAAATGAAATAAAAGGTACCATATGCGTATGACTGAAATGACAGTGTAATGTAACTTGATGGCTGCGCTCAGCTACACAGTCTCCTGCCCTAAATAAAGAGAAAAGGGAATCACTCTGATTATCGCAAATGGTTTAGTGAGCCCACCTGGGCTCCTCTGTTCTCTTCAGCAGTAGAACCCTCTGCTTCATAGGCAAGGCGTGATGTGATGTGCCTAAAGCCTCACACATCAAGTAAATGTGCAAATCTCACCAAGCTGAGCCTGCTGCTTTTTGTGCTTGGTGTTCTGTGATGTACATCTCATGTGTCTCCGAACATTTATCACTTTTATCTGGAAGGGTTGTGAGAGTCTCTACATTTTTATTGATAATGATCCTTACACTTGTACAGCTCTGTTCTGGACACTCCACTCAAAG